CTTCTGAGGACCCATTTGGGTCATCTCCATGACACTGGTCTTGGCCTTGATCTCAGCTCTCCTTCCTCTGGTCCTAGTCACCAAAGTAGAGACTTGGGCCAAGGCAACTCTACCCAGTGGTTTCCAATCCCAGAGCCTTAGCCCAGTCTCAGAAGCTTGCCATTCCCTGCTTCACATGGCACCCAAGGAGTCCAACTCCCAAAGTCAATTACCACTTGCTCAGATGGCAGGCAAGAAACTTCAGTTTGGCCACAACATTTTCTGCTCCCTGAGATTTGCATGATGCATAGGAGGTCTCTCCCACAGGCAAAAGAGTTTTTTAAATCCTTAGACTTAACCACTTGCACATGGGTCTTATGATTTCCCAGTACCTCACAAGTTCGTTCCTTTATCTTTCCCCAGAGAGTAAGCATTAGACAATCTTCTGCTACATGTCACTAAATTATCTCTATTTTATGGATAAGAAAGTTGACACTAAAGGTAGCAAGTGACTTCCCCAAGGTCAAACAGCAAGTTAATGGCAGGAGACAGTAGGACCCAAGAGTCCAGGGCTGAGAAGCTGGGATACAGGGTAGGCTCTGAGGTGGAAGGGAAAGGGGGAGGGGGGGGAGGGGGAGGAGGAGGCTTACTCCTTCCAACTCACAGATCTTACTCCCTGAAAGAGGATTAACCCAGATTCAGGGCACACTGTGGGTTTGCAGTCTTAAAATTGTACCTCAAGAACCCCTATCGATGTGTTAGCTTGGCAATAATCAGGCAGAGAATACAATTAGTGCATAGCCACATATTAGAATAGCAGATTGAGAGATTTACAATAGAATATTTCCCCTATAAACCTGGGATAAGCTTTCCCACAAATACATATAGCATCAGTGGCAAGTGTAAACTCTAGCCTAAAGTAGAGTTGCTCATATGTACATATAGAAGCACATCTACCTCCTCTACCTCCATTCCACACCCTCATCTCCTCATGCTCCTCCTTCCAAAGGATGGCATCTTTGCAGGCCTGCTCCCGAGTGGGTCATAGCGCATGAGCATGCTCTCTGTCTCCAGCTTGGGGCTCAGATGAAACCCTAGCCTACGGAGCTGCTATCTTCATTTGGGAAGACTCAGAAGCCAAAAAGCATAAGACTCTGGTCCAAGGCGAGATGCCAGATCCTTACGACAAACACTTGACTCCTTGCCCTGACTTTACTTGACTCTGAGGTTGATTCCAGTCTATCTGTGTTACAACCCTCTGTGGCATGACATGCCAGGAGCCCTCTCTGGGATAAATACTGGGCTCTTTGCTCTGGTGAGAACCCTCTGGAGACAGTCTCTACTGGGATTCCCTTTAGTGGATACCCATGTTTTGGACATGTACTAGAAAAAAATTTGACATTTTATTCTCTTTTAAAACCATAATTGGGCAGTCTGATTTATAGTTTGCTTTCCTTACAAGTCAGACCAGTTTCTTTGTAATAACATTTCCTTGTTTGAATGCTTATATATTGCTATCTGTTGTATTACTGTACCCAGTTGAGTCATGAACATCCTGACATACTCTTGCCTGACACTGTCTCTACAGCATGCCAGTTCATAAATGTTCGTTATTTCTCTTGTTCCTTTCAGACAACCCTAGACTCTTTGCCCTAATTGCGATGAGTCAAGACAGCTTGCCAGAGCTCCTTAGGAACTGAACGTCCAAAGGATGTTGGTCTGCAGAATTAGAAACCCCAGGGGGCATCAGGCCCAAGAGCTTAATCCCTAATGGAAGGCTATACATGTTCAGATCCTCTTCGCCATTCCTGATGCTGTATTCACTCCTCTCATATGGACCCAGTTATCCTATTGTGGGAGGAGTTAGGTCCTCCCCTTGGAGGTGCTAGCACTGAGGTGCTTCCCACTTCTGAGGACCCATTTGGGTCATCCCGGCAGAGGCTGGGATCCGATGGGGACATTTCACTGCTCTTTGGTATGGGGTCCCAGGGAAATTTGCCCGGACCTCCCTTAGGGTATGGACTATTTGCTGCTGATAAGAGGTGGGACACAGGGAGGGGAAAACCCCCACCTGACACTTGCCACACTCAAACTATACATCACTGGTCCACAAGGGGCTAAGCTCATCCTCTGGAAATGACCCTTATTTGTCAGAGCATAAGGGAATTTCCCTTGACCTCATCAGGTGGCTCAGGCAGCATCTATACATTCGACTTCGGCTGCTTTAGGAAAACCTCTGGGTCATCAGAAGACAAGAGGAAGGAGGAAGGGGGTGCAGGCCCCTCATCTTCGCAGTGGGCATGATTGAGGGGATCCTGCGCACACCACTCTCCTGCCTTTGTCCACCCCGAGAGCATTCCTCATTGCTCACTGCTGTGACAGCAGAGCAGTCGGTCCAGGTCCTGTCTCTGCCGAAAGCGAGGGCTTTCTCTTTTCTCGTTTTCTCTGTGTCTGTCTCTTTCCCTCCGTGTCTCTCTCTCTTTCTGTGTCTCTGGCTCACAGTCTCTGTGTCTCCCTCCATCTCTGTCCCTTTCTGTGCGTCTCTGTCTCTTTTCGTCCCTCTGTCTCGGTCTCTTTCCCTCTCTCGGTGTCTCTTCCCAGCCCGTCTTTGTTTCCCCCTCTCCAATGCCAGGTTTCCCATCCTGTTCCCCTGGCAGCGGGTGCCCCCAGTGCCCAACTGGACGGTATGTTTTTGGAAACTCCCCTTCCCTCCCAGGGCTTCCAAAGCCAACACCCTCCTTTCCCCGCAAAGGGTTCACCCCAACCAAGCAGTGGTGCCTTCCCTTCCTATCCACATCCACCAGACTCCCCCCTGGTCCTGCCCAATGGTTCCGTCCCACGCTCTATGCTCCCACACACATCACCCCCCCAACCCCAGTAGTGGTGCCTTCCCTTCCTACCCACATCCACCAGATTTCCTCCCCCCCCGTCCTGCCCAATGGTTCCGTCCCACGCTCTACGATCCCACACACATCACCCTTCTCCACCCCGCCCCCCCTCCCCGCCCTCAGCAGAGGTTCCTTCAATTACACACCAGAGCTCTCCCTACCCCCGCCATAATCCTACCCAATGATTCCGTCCTGGGCTCTATTTGCCTTCTCTTCCTCCCCATACATACTCCTGTGCCCCCCATGGCCTCGTCCAATGGTTCCGTCCTGCATATCCCAACAAAAATACCTTCTCGTTCCACACCAGAGGAAAGAGAAAGGAAGGGAATAAGCACTTATTTAGCACCTACGGTGTGCCAGACACTGTACTAAACACTTTGCAAATATTATCTCCTTTGAGCCTTACAACAACCAGGAAGAGGGACGTGCTAACCGTAACGCCCTGGTTCCTACCCAATGGTTCCGTCCAGAATTTCCGCCCCCCCCCTCCCGCCTTGCAGTGGCATCTTCCACGCTTCAACAGGGCCCCTAGGTGGCGCCGTGCATGCCATAGACTGGGCTTGGAGACTTCCTTTTGGAAGGTTGAACTCCAATACTACCGCAGACACGGCCTGGTTTGTGACCCTGGGCAAGTCTCTTAGTAACTTCATCTATAAAATGGGGATACTATTAGAGGTCGTCTCCCAGGATAAAATGAGATGATAAAGCGCTTCCTAACCCTTTAAGGGCTCTATAAATGCTGATTGCTCTTATTATTTTGCATCATAAGATGTCATCCTGCTTCTAGGTTGACCTCCAGACGAACCCCACCCCGTGGTCCTGACCAGTGGTTCCATTCCGCGATCTAGACCCCACTCCCACCCCTTCTCTTTCTCTCCACCAGCCTCCTCAGCGTCTGCCTAACCCAGAGGCCTTAGCGAACGGGGTGAAGGAGGGAAGAAGTGAGCCAATGGGTTGGGCGAAGGAAGGCGGAGAGGCGGTGCTTTCACCCTAAAGGTCCCGCCCCCTTCCTTTCCTCCAATGACGCTTCGAACTCGCTTAGCGGGTGTCTGCCAGTTTTGACCAATGGGACCTCAAGGTGCGTCCCACTTCGCGCCCTCTGGTGGTTCCGCCAATGAGTGAAGTCCCCTTCCCGCTTCCGTGGAAGCGTCCAATGGGACGTAGCCTTTGGTGCCGCCCCGAGATGGGTCCCGCCCCCTCTGGCAGCGTGCTTTGGGCGGCTGCAGAGGAGACCATGGCCGGTAGGCTGTGGCTGCGGGCAGTGCTCTGCCACTTGTGGCTCTGCCTCAGTGGTGCGTGAGCCAGGCCGGGGAGCAGGGGGTGGAGGTGGGGGGAGGGTGTGGGGGAGACCCGAGGGCTGGAGCAAGGCAGCGCTGACTGGGCCTCCCCCCGCAGGTACGGCCGCGCTGCGCTGCCACCTGGTGCAGCTTACCCAGCTGGGCCCCAGCTCTGGCCTGACCATGCAGAATTGTGAGGAAGAGGAGTTGTGCCACCAGACACTGCTGCGCGTGCGCACTGGTGAGGCCGCCCTACAGGTGTCGGGGCCCAGGCCCAGCCTCCCTCCCTCCTGGCCCCTCCTCGAAGCCCCTCTTTCCCCCACCCCCCAGCAGCCCCGCCCTTCCCCTCCCACCCCCAATCTCCAGCCTCCTTCCCCAGCCCAGCCCTCCCCCCCCTCCCCACACTCCTAGCCCCTGGGCCCCTCCCCATCCCCATCCCCTTCCCATCAGCCGCCGCCTCCCTCCCCCCAGGTTCCCTCTTTCCCCATTCCCCCAGTACCTGGGCCCCCTCCCCCCAGGCCCCCTCTGCCCCTCCCCCAGCCCCGCCCTCGCCCTCCCCCAGGCCCGGTGGTAAGGGCTGCATAGTGGCCGGGCCGCAGAGCACCGGGGTGTCCCAGTACCGGCTGCCCCCTGAAGTGAGCCTCACCCTCTACAACCACGTGTGCTCCACGGACCTGTGCAACGACGACCAGACCTTGGCCTCACTCTGGAACACGTCCCGGGGGGGGGCGGGGGGGGCAGGAGCTGTGTCCCCGCAGGCGTGGGAGGCCGGCTGTGAGCTGGAGTCTGCCTGCCGCCAGCCCCCCCCCCCCCGGCTCGGGGGTCCTTCTGGCTCCGCCCACCCGCTGTGAGCTGGGGTTCGGGATGAAGCAGACAGAAGTCGGAGGGGGCCGCGTGGGGGGCATCCTCCTCCAAGGTCCCGGGACGCATTCGAGCCTCCCAGCCAGCCCTGGAAACTTCAGCAGCAGGACCTTGGTGCCTGCCAAGATCTGGCGTCAGGCCTGCGCTGCCCTGCAGTCCTGTCCCGAAGACTCGCCCTTCATCCCCTCCCCCCAGAGGACCCACTGCTACCGAGGAGCCCTCAAACTCATGAGCGGTGAGGCCTGGGTGTTGGGGGGAGGTGGGCTTGGGCTCTGGCGCTGGCCGGGCTCTCTGAAGACCTGGGTCCCCACGGCCCCCCTCCCCCAGGCAACTTGTCCCTGCCCCTGGCTGTCTGGGGCTGCGCTTCATGGGCCAGCTGCAGTCTGCTGGGTGGCCTCTGGACTCCTGGGCCCATTGCCTTGAGGGAGACTTGTGAGGATGAGGGAGAAATGAGGGATGTGTGGGACCGCTGGACCGGAAGAGATGGTGCAGTTTTTGCCAGACCCAGGACTGGCCTGGAAGGTGAGATTGGGATCGCTGCTGGCCCTGAGGGGGTGCTGCCTTACCCAGCCCTGAGCCCTTGGGACCTCGGTCTCTGAACACCCGAGCCTTCTGTCCCCTGACCCTTCTCCTTCTGCATAACATCTCCACCTCCTTCTCTCCCATGTTCCAACCTGGGATTCTGATCAAACTGTTGCCCTTCACTTTTTGGAAGTCCTAAAGGCTCTGGTCTCTCCTAAGACTGTAGGTCTCTGTTACCTCTAACCCCTCCCAGGCCCCTGCCCCGAGGGTCTCGGCTTTGGTTGGACAGAAAGAACCAATAAAACCACTTTCTCTGCCTTGGTGTGTCTGAGTTTTTGTGTTCCCCAGGGGCTGTGGGAGGGATGGTACCCAGCTGACTCCTGGTACTCTAATGCATCCCACCTCCTTTCCCCAGACCCAGTGGGCAGGATTCTTGGACCTATCCTCAGGGACCTTTCCTTTCAGGCCTCAGCTTTACTGTTTTCTAAGCTCCAGTAATATCACCTGTGTGCACGTGTCCTCCACCAACATCCATGGATGTAACTTTTGTTCACTTGTTTCAGTCATGTCCAACTCTTCGTGACCCCATTTGGGGTTTCCTTGGCAAAGATACGGAAACGGTTTGCCATTTCTTTCTCCAGCTCATTTTACAGATGAGGAAACTGAGGCAAACAGAGTGAAATGACTGCCCCAGGGTCACACAGCTAGTGCGTGTCTGAGGCAGGATTTGAACTCAGGTGTTCCTATCTCCAGGTCCGGGTGCTCTGTCCTCTGCACCACCTAACTGCTACTGTGTAATGCTAGGCAAGCCACTTCCTGGGGTCTCACTCTTCTCATTTATAAAAATGATCTTACAGAACCTCATGAGGCAAAAGATTCACAACAGTCTAGTGATGTTTTGTTGTTCCAGGAACAAGATGCCTCTGCCTCCTGGCGTCCCCAGTGGCCATCCTTGCTGCCATCTCCACCTCAAAGCCCAGCTTCCAAGATAAGCCTTTCCCAGTCCCCCACAATGCTGGAGCCTCCCCTCTGGGGTTATCCGCTAGTTTAATTACTGTAGTCACAAATCATTCCCTGCTTTGGCCAACTTGGGCAAAGACCTTCTCCAAACCTAGGTGAGCTGGTCCTTGGATGACACACATGGTCCGCTCCACTCACCGGCCCATTCTTGACTTTCTAGCTGGGTGTAGGACTTAGCAGAGACAAGCTCAGATGAATGGCCATCCCTCTGATTTTATTATAGACTTCAAAGGAAAAACAGGTCGTCCACTTCAAGACCTGCCGATTCAAGTAGCATCCTCTATTATGTGTATACAAATGCTCATTCGCTTTGGTTGTTGTTAGGTTTAAAATAAAAATTAGTTTTTAAAACATGATTTTCCTTATAATGATACTATAAAGTTGTTCTGGTCCTGCTCACTGCATTCTGCCTCAGTTCATAAAAGTCTTTACAGGCTTCCCTGAAACCATACATTTCAGTGTTTCCTCTGGGTGTGATAATATTCCATGGCGTTTGTATACCATAATTTACTTAGCTATTCCCCCAATTGACTGATGCCTGCCTTAGTTTCTGGATCTTTGTTATAACAAAAAGAGCATAAATATTTTTGTAGACAAGGGTCCTTTCCCTCTGATTCTTGTAAGATATAGATGTCCTGCTGTGTCGCTGGGCCACACAGTAAGCACAGGTTGGTGACTTCAGGGCATGGTTCCAGGTAACTTTACAGGAAAGGATCTTTGCAGGCTGCATATTGACTTCTGTTTTAAAATGTAATGTTACTTGTGCTTTGTTGTGTTGTTTCTGATTCTGTCAGATATTTCCCAGTTACATTATACTCTGGTTCTGGAGTGTTTTGGGCCACATGTTGGATGCTTGTTCTACAGCCTCTCCAGGAAAGATGGTCTGTCTTGTAAGCACCCTCCCACCACTGACCTCGGCCCCTGAGCTTGCTGGGCCCTGTTCTCAGTGATCCACCCTATCCTCGTTCTTGATTTTCAATGCTAGTAGCTCCTAGTGTCCAGCTTTGCACCTGATCCCTTCTTCTCTTATTCTTCACCACCCCAACCCCCCCCCCCCAGATACACAACCTAGGTCCCAAGAAGAGTGTTTTCTAGGACTTATTATGGAAAAATAAATCCTATACGGGTATAACAAATATGGCGTCACTGTAGTCGACAGCTGGCTCTCCAGGACTTAATCCCTTTCCCTCCTTCCTTCCTGTAATAAGGCAAAATTGAATCTTTCCCAGGCCATGCTTGTCTCCTCCCAGAGGGAAGGCAGGAGTGGTTTAGGATGGGATGCTTTCTGCTACAAGCCCTTTTACCCCCTGCATAGTCGGTCAATCACACTCTGTTACAATTACTCACTTTTTATCCTGGGGCGATAGGATGACCCTCAGGTGCACGTGAGGGCTCTGCCTTTCAAAGAAACTCTTCCACTTTATGGAGTTCATGTCAGTCAGAGAATTAGCAGAACAAGCCCATTAGATCAGAGCCCCTGGTTGGGAAAATTCCTAGGATTCAGAGAAAGGTTTGGTTCCCTGTCCTAATTTAAATTTGTGCTGATTTCTAACTAAACTAACTCATGGTCCCTTTGCCAGAGGCAAAGTTTAGCATATGGGAAATATTTAGGTAAAAGGAACAGTCCGTTAGAGTGTCTGATAGACATGAGGAGGGGAAAATGGAGAAAGAGCAGATTTTGGGAGGGGGGCTTCCCCCAAATTCCATAAGTCCTCGAAGAGGACAACTGTTAGCTTCACTTCAAGTCTTCTGCCCCAGTTCTGTAGCAGCAGCATCTCTGGCACAACTTGGCAGTGCTGGGAAAGCTTTCTCTCCAGCTTGAAGGTTTCACTCCTTCCTCTCAGACTTGTATGTTGAAAACCGTATATATCTGTTTACGAACTCCTAGGTGCAACTCTGATCTGCCATACAATTCAAAGATTAGTCCAAAGTCATTCTCAAAACTGAAAGAGGAAATGGATGGCACGCTGAACTAGCAACCCAGAGGGTTGGTCAGTTTCCATTTCCTATTTCACAAGAAGAGGGTTTCGCATCCTCCTACTGTAATCAAAGCCTTCTGTGATCAGACCTCACCCACCCAGTCTCATTACCTCCTCCCACCAGATGGTGAATTGGAAAGAACTAGGAGAGCTGAAGCTGGAGGCCACTTCTGATCTCTGTCGCATTAGTGACCTCGAGGAGGTCACAAACCTCTCTGGACAATAGTTTCTTCAGCACCAAGGGAAGCTCAGTCACAAGGCTGTACTCCAGGGATCATGAGTAAAGTGCTCAGTAAATCTACCAGCATACAAGCTATGATCAACAGGAAACAAGAACCCCCTCCTGGGAGGCAGGAGTCCTATTTGTCTCAGTCCCGGGTCTGCCGTTACCCACAGGGATTTTAGGCAAGTTCCTGCCCCTGGACGAGCCTTGGTTTCTCTGAACTTACTAGGTGAAGAGGTTAATCTGGATGTTCTCCAAGGGCCCTTTCAGCTCTCCCAATCACAACAATCACTAAGTCTCAGACTTAGGAGGGAGTTCAGAGACCACCCAGCCCACTTTGTACCTGAACAGGGATTCTCTGAACAGCACCCTCGACAAGGGCTCGTTCAGTCTTTGCTTGAAGACCTCCAATGCAGGAGAACCCACCACTTCCCAAGATAACCTCCAAAGCCCCTCCCAGCTCTAATTCTTCTGTTCCATAAAATAGGCACATAGAGTCTATGTAAGTCAAAAATCCCTAAGGGGCATGAGTTACAGACTGTGTACAAATCTCCAGAAGTCTTCTCCCAATATCTCCTTATGGGGTAGAAGGTGTGACCCTGCCCTTGAAGCCCAAGTTCTGGGAATGCATTTGGCCTGGGCCAGTCAACCTACTATGAGTCTGTCCCCAGTCTTGCTAAATGCAGAGAGGCTCATCTGCAGAGGGTTGTCCCGCAGGGTATATGGCCACAGTTGTCTTTGAGGAGCTTTCTGCTAAGCCCTGGGAGAATCTATAAGATTCTTTAAGGGATCAAAAAGAGGTTGCATGACATTGAAAGTAGGCTCATCAGTCAGTAAGCATTTCACTGCCAGGAATGTGCTAGGTGCTGGGGATATAAAGAAAGGCAAAAGACAGTCCCTGATCCCAAGGAGCTTACCATCCAATGGAGGAGATAACAAATTCACAGCTATGTACAAACAAGATATAGAGAGAAAAGTATACTGCCTCCCTTCTGTTGACTATTTACAATGTATCCTGTGTATAGCAGGGTCAGAAGAGATATTATGAAGGTAAAATTGGCGGGCTTTGGCAACAGATTCGATGAGGCAGTGGGCATGAGAAAGCAAAGAGTTAAAGATGACACCTAGGTTTCAAGCCTGGCTGCCTAGGAAGATGATAAAAGAGGTTAGGAAGAGGGAAGGGTTTTAGGAGGGAAATGATAATGAATTCTGCTTTGGATATGTTGAAGTCCAGTTTGAGATGTCCAATGGGCAGTCAGAGATGTGGAGGTTAGGAGAGAAATTAGGGCTGGATAAGTAGAACTAAGAATCATCAACAGAGATGACAAATGAATGCATGGAGGCTAATGGGATCACCAAGTGAAACAGTATAGAGTGATTAAAGCAGAGGACCCAGGACACAGCCTAGTGGGACACCTGCAATTCGCAACCTGGATGAAGATCCAGCAAAGGAGAATGAGAAGGAAGTGACAGATAGAAGGAGAAGCAGGAGAGAGCAATTCACCAAAATCCAGGCAGAAACCAGGATCAAGAAAAAGGGAGCGATCTGCAGTGTCAACAGCTGCAGAGAAGTCAAGGAGGAGGACTGAAGAAAGGCCATTGGATTTGGCATTGAAGAGAGCGTTGGCAACTTTGGAGGGACTAGTTTCAGTTGAATCATAAGGTCGGAAGCCAGACTGTAGAGAGATAAGAAGAGAGTGAAAGGAGAGGCTGTGAAAGTACTAGATGTAGATGGCCTTCTCTAGGTGTTTAGCCACAAAAGGGAAGAGAGATATGGACAGATCAAGTGAAGGCTTTTTAAGGGTGAGGAAGACCTGGGGATGTTTGTAGGCAGTAGGAAAGTAGCCACTAGACAGGGGAAGATTGAAAATAAGTGATAGAGTTGGGATGAAAGGGGGGCGGAATTTGCTATCCCTTGAGCTGGTGTAACTTGGCAATGAGAAGGGCCAGTTCTTTATGTGACAGAGAGGTGAAAGAGGAGGTAGTGATAGAACGGTAGCATACACCTGCTAAGCCTCACTGGCTGCTGACTGGACTTAATGATCCATCTGACGTGGAACCCAAGTTTTCAGGCCTAGCTTGACCACCATGATTCTGATTTTTGGAAAGAGTACCTGATTTGGAATCAGAAGGACTTGATGTGACGGCTGATGTAGGCAAGGAGTACGCTTGCTGCAGAAGAATGTACAACCTGAATATAGCTCATTGCCCAGCTTTTGAATACTGGCCCATTGCCCTACGAAGAGCTCTCTCCTCTCAGAAGCCTCTTCACTCCTGGCTAATCAGAACTGATTGATTGACTGATTATTGATGGATGTTCAAAGGAAAAGGAAACTTGAGGACACTGGAAAGCATGCAAACAAGGGATCGTAGATGAAGAGCTGGAATGGTCCTCAGAAGCCATTTAGACTAAGCACCTCACTTTACAGATAAGGAAACTGAGGCCCATGCAGGGTGAGTGACTTTCCCAGGGTCATAAAGTGTTAACCAAAAACAGTATCACAAGTCCATGGGATATTTAATAAATAAAGGTGTGATTTGAACTCTAGTCTTCTGACTCCAAAACTGACTGCACTGCCTTCTATACATTCCTTACCTTCCTTGTGATCCTGCTAGGCTGTTTTCCCTAGTTAACTCCCAGAAGTCACTAGAAATTGCTATTACAGTGGGTCTTAATATTGGCTCTGAAATTTACTAAAATAAGATAATATATGTAAATTGTTGGGTAAATCTTAAAATTCAATCGTAGCCCAACTCCCCTACTTTATTAACTATTATTGCACAAATCATATTGTCTTCCTCCGGTTCTTCATCTGGAAATGAAGGGATTGATTAGGTCCCCTCAGCTCCCTATCCCTACGACAAACTTCATTTTTATTACAAAACTATCCGTTTTTTCATGTACTTATTTCCTACACACTGAATGATTGGCTTGTAACCTTCAGGGTGATGCTATTGAAGAGAGCGAGGCTGGCTGCAGTAAATCTGCCCCAGGCATCCCTGGGGCCCTTCCTTCCTCCCCACATGACATGATCTCTGATGCTTTGCCCATCCTGCTCACAGAGACAATGGGGGTATTCCACTTTACAGAGTGACTCCTGCTGGACTGAACACAATAGCCCAGAAGTGATTGAATCTGCAGGAGAGCAGTAGAAATGCTCAACCCCTCATTCTGGAAAATGTTTTTGTTAATGAGGCCAAAGATTGTTTTTGTGGGCAAAGAATTTTCCTTGCCCTTTAAACTGATAGGTAAATGGAGTTCTCATTACCTAAAATTTCAGAATCATTCCCTCCAGTTCAGCCCCAAAGTTCACAAAATACAAGCTATTTCTTATAAGCCTCTTTGCATCAAATAATACTCCCCTCTCACACTCTGACCTTGACAAGAACTAGCCTGTTACAATGGAAGAGCACAGGGGCTTTGCCCCTGACATGCTGCTCTGTGACCTTGAGTACTTTACTCCTCCCGACTTAGAACTCAGGGTCGGGAGGGCCTTTGAACATGCCGTGTCAGAGCTGGAAGGGACCTTAGAACAGGGAATGTCAAGGCTGGGAGGGGGCTTAGAACAGGGAATGTCAGAGCTGGGAGGGGCCTTAGAACAGGGAATGTCAGAGCTGGAAGGGACCTTAGAACAGGGAATGTCAAGGCTGGGAGGGACCTTAGAACAGGGAATGTCAGAGCTGGGAGGGGCCTTAGAACAGGGAATGTCAAGGCTGGGAGGGGGCTTAGAACAGGGAATGTCAGAGCTAGAAGGGATCTTAGAACAGGGAATGTCAGACTTGTGAGGAGCCTTAGAACAGTGAAGGTCAGACCAGAGAAGTGCCTTGAACATCTCGCCTAACCACGGCCCTGCCCCCAGTCACCAATCTATAGCCACGTGGCCCTTCGGCAGCCCTGGTTCTGCTCTTCCCGCCCCCTCCCTCAGCGGGCCAATAGACAGTCGAATAGGAGGCCCCCTAATTGGACCAATAGAGAAGGGCCACCAGGCCACCAATGGGGCGTCGACCTTCTCAGACCGGAAGGAGGCTGGTCCCGCCCCCCAGCACCTAAATCTGGGAGCAAGAGGGAAGGGGAGAGAGGGGGAGACTGGGCCCAGTTTCTGTTAGTCGGGGGCGGGGCCCAGCGCGGCTCTTCCAATAGCCTGAGCGGGTCTTGGGGCGGAGGGGAGCAAGGTCCAATGGAGGCCCCGCCCCCTGGAGTGGGGCTAGAGTCCTGAAACCGAGATGGGATTGGGAGCCCTGGAACCCCTGGGAATGGGGGAGGGGCCTGATGGGGGGGAGGGGAGACACCTGGGTCCTGTGGGGGAGGGGAATGATACCAGGGTCCTGGGGTGGAGAAGAGGACACCTGGGTCCTTGGACAGGCATTGTATGAGACAAGAAGCATCTTTCCCATCTTTTCTCCCCTCCAGCATCTCCGTCTTCCCCTTTGTGACCGTTCCTCTCTGGTTGAGCAGCGACCACGGTTTCCTGCTTCTAGGCTCAGGGATCCAGGACCATGGCACCCTGGTACGCAAGGCTTCCACTGCACCTGTTTTTCCTAGGAGCTGCCCTTGCCCTCACAGGTGGGTATATGGAGCAGGGGCCCCCAGGCCAGGACCCAGTGTGGAATCTTGGTCCTCAGGGCAAGGCTAGAAGCTCGCCCCTGCCATTTCTTCCCCAGGAGCCCTCACCTGTAACCAGGGCATACTGATCCGCATTGGAAAAACCCCCACAAAATTCCTGGCCAACTGGACATCATTACTTGAGGAGGAATGTAAAGAAAAGGATCTGTGTCAGGACACTATTCTGATCTTAGAGACAGGTAAACAAGAGGTGTTCGTGTCTGATCAAGCCTTGCCCTCCCAACCTCCCTTTAAGGCCTCTATGCCTACCTAAAACCAGAGAATCTTAGAGCTGGAAGGGACTAATAGTCTGTGTTCTAACGCCCCTCCCAGCTCTGACATTCTCTGTTCTTAGGCCCATCCTAGCTGTGACATTCCCTGTTCTAGATTTGCTCCCAGGTCTGGCATGCCATGTTCTAAGGCCCCTCCCAACTCTGACTTGGAGGAACTAGTTACATCTGGAGCTGGAAGGGAGCATTAGGCACATCCCAGCCGTCCTGGTCTTAGTCCTGAAATGCAAAGACAACTCACTCCCGCTGGCGGCTGCCCGCCTCACTTTGGGGCAGCTCCAATTGTCAGGAAATTTGATTTGAAATCTGCTTCCTGTGATTACCCCATTGCTCTCTTCTGAACCCAGTCAACTTTTGTCAGTAGCCTACACTGCACAGCACTGCTAGGCCCTCATGGTACAAGTAGAAGAGCGCAGCAGTGCCTGCCCTCACAGAGCTTGCATTTTACAGGGAGATCTGGCCCTTCCACAGAAATGTATAGCACCAGGAAGGGAGGCTGGTAGACCAAGTTATGATCCAAGGGAGAACACTGAGCTGAGGGGAATGGAGAAAGGCCTGGGGCCCCGGGGGAAGGTGGCTCCTGAGCTGGGCTTTGAGAGAGGAGCGTTCTGGGAAAAGGGAAATGGCCAGCTGTTGGGCATTATAACCAACGACCCTCAGCGGAAAGAGATGAGCTGACACTGGGTGAGAGAGTCCAGATATGCAAGAAGATTTCAGCCTTTGGGCACTGAGCTGAAGATGAGTGCTGCGGTGATCAATGTAAAGTCAACTTCACCAGTGTGAGGTGGGAGAGGTGCTGTCAGAGGGCAGCAGCAGCAAGCCAGTTTGACTGGAGCAGAGAGTGGGTGAGGAGTTAGGGATGCATGGTAAGCCAGGAAAGGCAAATTGGAGCCCGACTGTGGACGGCCTTTGATGCCACGCTGAGGAATGGAGACCGTGTTTGTATTAAGACCAATAGGGAGCCATTGAAGGTTTAGGGGCAGCGTGATATGGTCAGACTTGTGTATTGCAAAGCTCGATGGCTTTCATGGGTGCATAAAGGAAGCTGGAAGCCGGGGACCTGTTGGGAGGTTATTATAACTATCTAGGTGGTCAGTGATGAGGGACTGAAGCTTGAGAGGGGCTGCCATGTGAGTACAGAGAAAGAGGTGGATGAGAGATGTGTGGTGAAGGAAGAAGTGACGAGACTTACTGATGAGGAAGGGGGAGGGGTCCGGGATGTCCCAGGACTGCCAACCTGGGGTCCTGGGAGCACGGCAGAGCACTCAGCACAAATGGGAGTCGGGAGGAAGGACTTTGCCCATTTAATTCTAATTTAATTCCACATTGCTTTCCCGAATAGTTGCATCAATTCACAGCTCCATGGACAACGCATTAGTGAGCTTTAGATGAATCTTTCTAGGATTTTATCAGTGAAAGGACAGAAACAGGATTAGAGATATAGCCTGATAGCTTAAGGGGCTAGCTCGGTCAAAGGAAGGGTTGTTTTTAAGGATGGGGTAGCCTGGGTCTATTGTAGGTAACAGAATGGATCAGAAGAGAGCAAGAATTATTGAAGGCATCAGAAAGGGAATGATCAACCCTGTTTTGAAATGTTTGAAGTGCTGACGGCTGGACGTTGGGAGTGTCCAGAGGGGAGTTAATGATGCTGGGGGGAGATGAAGGCTGTCCATGTAGGTTTGGGAATTATCTGTGCTTGGGCCTGTGGGAGCAGGTATAATACCAGTGAGAAAAGGAGGAGGCCTCAGACAGCTTTAGGTGACACCTAATTTTAGAAGGAGAGACAGAAGATGATTCAGCAAAAGGGACTGAGGAGGAGTGGGAGGACCGTCAGAAGAGGTCAGTGTCACAGACATCAAGGGAGACTCCACCAGGGAGGGCAGGGGCATTAAAAGGTCAGCGATGAGAACTGAGAAAATTGGCCGCCGGCTTAGCAGTTAAGAGGCCCTTGGCAACCTGGGAAGGAGGAGTATCCGTTGAGAGGTGGGTTCATAAGCAGGGGCTTGATAAGTGAATGGGGAGGGGGTGAGCGAAGCATCCAGTGCTCAAACTTCTTTCTTAAAAAAAAAGTTCTTGATCCCTTGTTTTTACGTCACCTTCAATTCCTAGTATTTCACATCCTCCACCTAGAAAGTCATCCCTTGTACTAAAGAATTTTTTTAAAAAAGGAGTCAGCCAGACTAAGCAGCCCATCCCCTGGTGATTCCCACCTGTGATTCCCAGCCCTGCCAGCACCCTAATGTTCCCCCATGTTCCTAGACCACGGCTTGTTCAGCCACTCCCCAGCTGAGGGACAACTGTGTTTCCAGCTCTTTGCTGCCACAAAATATACATCTGTTAATAGTCTGGTGTGTATGAGACCTTACCCACCCCCCACCCACCCCCAGTATATATTCCTAATGGTGAGATCTTTGGGCCAAAGGATGTTGGGGCAGTCTAATTCCACAGTTTGAAGCTCCCCCAACAATGTGTTAATTTGCCTTAGAGGACTCTTTATAAAGATTCTTCCAGTGAAAAGGAAGAGAGAGATAGGATGGGAGCTTAAGGGGATGGCAGAGTCTAAGCAAGGTTTTTTGTTTTGCCTTTTTTATTTATTATTTTTTTTGGGATTGAGAAAGCCTGGATATGTTTTAAGCAGCAGGGAACAGGCCAGGGGAGCGAACAAAACATTAAAGACATGAACAAGGGAATGATGAATAGGACAAAATCCTGAAGGAAATGGTGGGACAGGCTCATAAAGACCAGGAAGAGTATGTATTGAGAAGGGGAAGGCTGAGTCATCCTCTGAGGCTGGAACAGAGGGGGAGAGGATGGATAAGGAGGTGTGCTGCAGGTGAGGTAGGGGAACAGGATGCAGTCAGAAGTGAGAGAGGAACGCCGTGCAGTGGTGAGCACCCATGAAGGAACAGTCCCCTGACTTTAGAATGGAGTCAAACCACTCAGTTTGGTGACTTCCCCAGTCTTTTGTGTTCCACGGTTTGGATGTGAGAACAGAGCAGGGGGATGGCAGGGCAGTTTAAGGCTGAGGATTACAGAAGGAGAAGGTGGAGCAGAACTCAAGGATGGATGGACCTGTGTAGCAGAAGGAAGGGAGGACAGTCTCCTGAAGTCTGATTGTGAAAGGCGAGGAACCCGAGGGCAGGAGCCAAGCCAAGCTGAGCTGGGATGCTCTACAATAGGACTGCTCCTTTGCTTTCTGTGCCTGGGGCTGGGTTCCTGTGTTCCTCAATTATTGGCAAATGGACTTGAGACCCTTTCTTTTTTTTTTTAATTTATTGCTTTTTTAAAAAACAGCATTTATATAGTTATCTCTGTCCCCACTCTCTTTTGTAACAAAAACAGTTAAGCAAGTGAAATCGACACACTTCCACACCCCAAAACCCCATCAACCTGTGAAAAACATGTTTCATCAGGGAGACCCTTTCAACAGTTAGAGTAACGAGCCACTGGAATGATGCCCAGCCAGAAGAACCCACAAAGCCTATTGGTCGTCATCCTGTTAACTACCTTTTAATATAGTGGAGTTTATGGAAGAGATGGAAAAAAAGACTGGATTTCTACCGAGTGTCTTCAAGGTGTTGGCACATCGACCAGGGGAATTCAGAGCATTTTTTGCTTACTGCAATGACATTATCAACAAAGAAACAGGACATCTCAGCAAGGCTGATAAAGAACTCATCACTGTAGCTACAAGTGCTAGTAATAGGTGCCCCTACTGTGTAATTACCCATAGTGCTGTACACAGAATATATTCCAAAAATGCTGTTCTGGCTGATCAGGTCATTGTTAATTGGAGAAAGGCTGACTTATCACCTCAAGAATTAGCTATGCTGTTACTCGTGCTGATGGCATAACAAGAATGTTTTAAAAAGCTAGAATTGCAGGGTTTTGATCAAGAAGATGCCTGGGACTTAGCTTCTATTTCTGCTTTCCTTTGCATGTCTAACTGTATTTCTCATTTTATTGACCTGATGCCCGACAAAGAATTTTATTCATTGAGTAGAAGGAAGCGGGAAAGGAGACAAGTATTCATTGAGTGTCTGCTGGGTGCTGAGCACGTCATGAATAGTATTTCTGGATCCTCTCAACAGCCCTGGCAGGGAGATGCTGCTGTCATCCCCATTTTACAGATGAGGACACTGCAGCAAACAGAGGCTAAGTGACTTGCCCCAGGGTCACCCTGGTAATAAGTGTTCAAGGCAGGATTTGAACTCAGGTCTTCCTGACTCCAGGCCGGTTGCTCTGTCTGCTGCCTGTCTTTGGACTATGAAAAGAGAGGAAGGAGGTCAGGATGGGGAGAATGGATCAGGGTAATGGGGAAGGATCATGGAACCAGAGACAGTGGGGAGGATAAAGAGTTAGGAGAAGTTGAAGGTCAGGAAAAATTATGAAATTACAGATTAGAGCTGGAGCTGTGGAGGTCATCTAGAGTCTAGACCTACTACTTTCATTTACCTGGTGAGGAAACTGAGGCCGGAGAGGCTTGTAAATGTCCAGAAGCACAGGGTCGGAGTTCAGCAAGGGTCTTGGGAGCGGCACCTGTCTGCAGGTGGTGGGGCTGCCCTGGTGGATGGCTGTAGTGTGGAGGAGATGGAGAGGGGACCAAAAGCCTGGGGTTCGATTGTCATCGGCTTAAATACCGATTGGCTAGGCTGGGCTGGAGAAGCCTGGAAGCATGACCCTGAAGGTGAGTGGCCACACCCAGACTTCCTAAGTGAAGGTGGCCCAGGGGTGCGGGCTTCTCCCTGGGGGGGCCAGAAGGGCTGACGTTTCTGCCCCCCCCCCCCGCATGTGGGAGGAAGAAGCCTACAAAGAAAGGCACTGAGAGGAGGGAGGGCACAGGGACACACGCTTCTCCCCTTCTGGGCCTACGTCATTGAATACATAAAGGCCAGAGCAGGATTCGAAGCCGGGGGGTTCCTTGTTACCAAGTGCAGGCCCGGAACGTACTTCTCTCCATGGGAAACTCTGTCTTTCTAGAACTGCAGGGCATTATCATAGCTACCAAGGGGTGCCTCTTTGAGAATGTGCAGGAGCCCACGGTCGTCAAGTACACGCAGCCACCCCAGCGTGGCAGCCACTTCCTACACACACTTCTGTGCCACCGACTACTGTAACAACTACACAGACCCAAGGCCACTGACGGAGCCCCCGAAAGGGGCAGGTGAGAATGAGACTCTTTCCCTGTCTCCGTGCCTGGGGAGAGGGCTGTGAGAGGTCCACGCTGGGAGGAGGACCTCCGAATCATCCTAGACTGTGGGCTCCAGCAAGGCCCTTCCACTCTGGGCCTCAGTTTGCTTCCCTGTCTCACAGTGTTCTCAGGGGGACCAGATGAGATTATGTTAAGCTATTTGCAAACTTTAAATGTACTCTAGGATTAACATGCATACTATTAAGGCCCTTCCCTTCACTGCACCTCCAATGAGTTAGACTACAGCCCCATCCAGCTCTGATGTCCCATGTTCTCTAGTGCCTGGCACAGGGCCTGCAGTGAACAGAGGAGGCACCGAATGTCCCTTTGGCTTCTGTGACTCTGGGCCTGGCATCTTGTAATTCTCCTATTCCTCAATGAGGGAAGAATGCGTGTTTCTGTAGCCCTACACAATTACAAAGCCCATGTGCTACCTCATGGAGTTCTCACAACAGCCCCATGAGCTTACTGCCTCTGGGCACCAAGATCTCTGCCCAGTCTGGCACCAGCCAGGCCCCTGGGCTCACCAGGGAAGGCCAGAAAAGTGATTGGCTGAAGACCCATTACACATAAGAAGATAACCAAGGGACTCTCCTTCCACCCCAGACCTTTCCTGCCTTGTGTCTCCTCCTCTGCTCTTTGAGGGCAAAGCCCAGCCCTGACTTTCCCACCCCCTGAGGCAGTCATGACCTAGATGGGCTCCATGGCCCCTTCTAGCTCTGATAGTTTGAGCCAGGCTTTAGACACGTGATTGTGGCAGCCAGGTTGTAGGGTCAAAGCCTAAGTGCTCACTTCTATACTCTCCATACCCACCCCCCAGTTAAAAGTTGGCAGTCCCCGTAAATTATACCAAAGTGCCTCTCTTCTAAAGACCAGCAAAGGTTGAACATTCTCCATTGGATTCTAAGTTTCTGATTCTGTTTTCAGGGCACTTCTAGCTTTGGGTCAATGTAAATTATTTTAGCATCGTATCTGCAGCTCTCCAGTTATACCCCAAAGCAGACAGTAGATAAGAAAAATGCTTTGTTTACGGGCACGAAGCGGGCCCAGACTCGGATGGAGCAGCAGAGACATTGTAGTAAAGGTGCGGCACCAACAGGCCATCCCTGACAGCCCTTTTCCTTCCCTTCTAGACAGCCCTCACCAGGAGGGCCTCATGTGTCCCCCCTGTGTCTCTCTGGGGCCCTGCATCCCTGGCTCACCAGTCATGCACTGCCCCACGCTCACCCTCTCCTGTTACAGTGGGACCATCATGATCAAGGGAGGTGAGAGGGGAGGTGCCTGGGCCCCTGGGGCTGGGCAAACAGATGCTCAGGCCCCTGGGTGAGCTGGGAAAGTGGGGGATGGGGATGTCTGGGGGGCTAAGAGAATAAACACCTGAGGTCTCAGGAGCAAGATGAGTGAGACAGCTGCTTAGGTCATCGAGGGACTAGGGATAAAAATGCTTGGGTCCCAGAGAAGACTAGGGGTCCCCAAGGGCTGAGGAATAAGATGTGTGTGGGAAGCTGGAGGCCCCACTGAGGGTTGATGCCTGGAGATAGGAGATCCCCTGCTGAGCACCCTCTCTCTCCCTCCCACCCCCAGGAGGCATCTGGACCCCTGTGGACTTGGAGGGCTGCATGAGGGAGATTGAATGCCAAGTGCTTAACAAAACCCACACAATCGGGCCCCTTGAAGTGACAGAGCTCTGTGACAGGAGCAGCTTGTTTGAGACCTTTCATGTAGACTGTGGCAGCGGTGTCCTCCCTGCCCTTGTGTGGGCTCTGGGCCTGGGCTCCCTGCTAATCCTGTAGCCTGGAGGGTAGGGGAAGGGCATGATGGGCCTGGCTTGTGCCAAACGCCCCCAATAAAGTCTGCTTCTGCCTCCTCCCTCCTGCCCCTTGCCACCTCCCTTCTCCCTCCTGCTTCCTCTTTCCTGCTGAGGCTCTCTACTCATGGCCAAGGAAGTCTCAAGACCGGACTTAAAATTATCACAATTCTGAGCAAGGAGGTTCTTCTGAATGCATAAAGTCCAAAAGCCTACCCAAGACCCTAGAAAAGTGGTTGCCCAGCCATCACTAACTAAGGTCACAGAGGTGACCTTATTTTGCTGTTAGTTATGGAGACAAGTGATATGGAGATCTCATTGTCAGTGGTACCTTTAAGCATGATATGTCTTTAACTCGGTGCTTCCAAATTTGAATTCCATTTTGTCCAGTTTCATCCCTGCAATTCCAGATTTTCTAGAATCAGCTAAAGCATAGTACATTTTAATCCCTCCTGTCATCTTAAATTTTTATATATCGCTGTGCTAGGTGTCTTTCCAGTAGGCAACATGGTATTGGATTGTTTGGTCAGCCATTGGGTGATCCTTTTTTCCTTTGATAGAGGAATTCAGTCCATTTACATTTAAGGTTATTGTTGTTCAGGTTGATTATGTTTTATCATTTGTTAAATTATTCATTTTGTCGAAAAGGAATATAATAATTCACTGGCACTAATCCCATCCCAACCTTAACACTAATGCAGACACACACACAAACCTCTAAACACCTGTATTTCTGACTATAAATTGTTCAAAAATCCAGCTTTCCATCTTCCACCTAGTTTTTTGGTGAGATTCTCTCTCTCTCCCTCTCTCTCTCTGTCTCTGTCTCTCTGTCTTTCTCTCTCTCTCTCTCTCTTTCTCTCTCTCTCTCTCTCTCTCTCTCTCTCTCTCTCTCTCTCTCTCTCTCTCTCTCTCTCTTCTTCCCCCCATTCCTCCCTCCCCTCATCTCCATCCTTCCACCCCATCTCTCTCTCATAATAACAGCCAACATTTATATCGTGCATCCTATGTACCATGCCCTGTGCTAGCACTTTACAAATATTATCTCATTTGATCCTCACAACAGCCCTGGAAGATAGGGGCTATTATCCCCATTTAACAGTCACAGAAATTGAGGCAGATAGAAGTTAAGTGACTTGCTGAGGGTCACACAGTAAGTGTCTGAGCCTGGATTTGAATTCAAGTCTCTGTGTCTGTCTCTCTGTATCTCAGACACACACACTGAGTCCACTGTCTTTGCCTTTCCTTGCCCTCCCCCCGCCCCCACTATGATTCAGATGGGAGGAACAATAAAAATCATCTAGTCCGACCTCATTTTACCCATGAGAAAACTCAAGCCCAGAGAGATCAGATCACTCTCCCAGGGTCCCACAGAGAAGGTGAGATGGCAGAGATGGAACTGAGCACAGGGCTTCAACCCCAAATCCAACACTCTGTTTGTTAGAACTGGCTTCACTTGGTCGCTTCCTCCTGCCCCTCTGTTTCCATCTGGAGCGTGTTGCTGCTAACTGTCCCATTACCCACCCCCAGAGCAGAGGCTAGGCTCCCTGCTCTGCTTCTCCCTGGTGGTGCAGCTGGCTGTCTCCCCACAAATTCTTAGAGTGCACATAGACTCTCAAAGGACTCTCTTTTGCCTTCAGAAAGAATGGCCAGGTTAGCCAAGATGCTGATTTCAGAACGAAGTCCTTCGTCTCGATCCTGGCTATTTCTTGTTTTCATAGAGAATCTTGTGCACATCGCCAAAGGCTTTCAGAGGCTGCCGATGCCCACAAGTGTTCCCACTCAGCCCGTCCAGGAGGAGCCCAGCACTGGGCACACAGAAGGGGCTCAGTCAGCAACCCCCAGGAGCAGCCCATCTGTCCATTTCATTATGGAGAGCTCTAATTGTTAGGACGGGTTTCCTGGCTGCCCCCACTGTGCCTGCTGGTAGCTGCATCATTTCCCCAATCCCAAACTAGGGTTCTTGGTACCACACCCTGTGCCCCTTCACCCCAGCTTTTTCTGAAAAGGTGTCCTGACCTTTGACTAGGCTTACTAGAGAGTGCTAGCCAACCCAAGCTGAAGGTCCTCCCTGCCCCAGCTCCAGGCTGGAAGGGGCGTTGGGGGCAGCCAGGGAGGACCACGTAAAGCTGCTCAGTGATCATGTACTGGAAGTACATTTTGCCTGTTGGGAAGCCAGGCTGAGAGCCGAGGGTGGCCACCAAAGATAACTGAATGGCCTTCCACTGCCTCGCGGTGACCAGTGGCGATCTCTTCCTCTAAGAGGAGGAAAGCAACGGGCTTCGCACTCCCTATAGCTATGGGTCCCAGTCACTTCTCTCTGGGACCCAGCTTCTGCGTCAGCAGAGATGATGGTCCTACTGCAGCACCACCTACACGGCCTCAGACTGGTGGAGCCCTGGAGCTAGATGGGGCTTTAGACATCATCTGGTCCATCTTTTTCACTTTATATGAAGGAAACTGAGGCCCAGGGAGGGAATAGTTAGAGCCAAGATTTGAATCTGGGGGGATCCTAATTGAAGGGAGAAAATGCACTTTGAGGAGAGCCCAAGGAAGAAGTGAATTGTTACCGTTATTATACATGATTAACGATAAGTGTTAGCAGCAGACAGGAGTAATAGAACAGTACATTTAAATCTTTATCGAATACCAATCAGCAGACGGCTTTGTGTTGGGGTTAGTGGGACTTTGGGCACACCTCCTGCCCCTGGGATCTCAGGGCCTTTTCTTCTGGCCCCCAGGCAGCCCCATGGGCCTACGGGGGCTCCCCGCTGCACCTCTTCCTGCAAGAATCTAAGGGATGTCTGTTCTGAGGATGCCTCGGCTTACAGGGTGAGAAGCAGTCCCAGCCCAAGGGTCCAGGCCCAGCTGGGCCGAGCGGCACCCTGTCTCCTTGGCCAAAAGTCACTGTGGTGGTCCAGACACTTCTCACTCAGGGTGAATGGGCCGATTGTCTTCATGCCGAGGAATAACTCACAGCTGGGCACAGTGGAGCAGCCAAGCAAGCCCAGGTCATACGAGGTGCCTTCTACGAGGGCAGGGGAGAGACCAGAGAGAGAGAGACACCAGGTGGATGGCACAGTGTCAAGAGCCATGAACCCTGGTTTGGAGGCTGGTTTTCAAGACCCTACTTCTGCCGCTAACCCAATATCTGACCTTGAGGAAGTGCCTTCTCCTCGTGAGGCCTCATTTTCCTTATCTATAAAGTGACTGGCAGGCCTCCAAGGGCCTCTCCTGGCCCAGATCTAGGAACGTGGGAACCTGTGGGCCAGTGGTCTCTGAGGTCCCTCTGAGTTCTGAGTCTAGAAATCTCTAAGACAGCAGCAGCATAGTGGAAAGCCTCTGGGGTTGAGGCCCTGCGTTTGAATCCTGGCCTAGGATTCTAGCAGCTATACCTGGCTGTAGGTGCGTTATTTCATTTCCTGCTCACAACCACCCAGATAAGGAACCTGGACTCTGGAACTCTGGACCTTCCCAGAATCCCACAGCTAGCAAGGCAGGTCCTGAGCCCAGCATTCACTCCATCTACTCTACCAACCTCCCTCTTAGAATCACAAAGGTCTGATCTGGGCCTTGGAGACCATCTTGTCCAGTTGCCCCAGAAAAGTGGCCAGAGGTCATACAAATAGTAAGAGGCAGCACTGGGGTTCCAATCCATGTCTTTAAGGAGACCAAACCCAGCATCAGCTAGGTGGTGCAGTGGATAGAGCACCGGCTCTGGAGTCAGGAGGACCTGAGTTCAAATCCAGCCTCAGATCAGACACTTGACATGTAACAGCTGTGTGACCCTAGGCAAGTCACTTAACACCAATTGCCTCACCAAAACAAAGATAAATAAATTTTAAAAGAAGACCAAACCCAGGGTTCTTCCCCCCAGCCCTAAGGCTTTAGGAAAGGCACCTCTGGGGCCTGGACCATCTCTGGAGGATACTGTCTGCTTCCCTGGTGCACACCACATCACCTCCTTCCATGTGACACTCAGGACCACCCCCACTCTAAGGGGCTGATCTGCCCAGCTGGTGCTCACCTCCCTTGATCTGGATGGTTCCATTGTAGCACCTCACGGCCTTCTCACTGCACCTACGCAGGCGGACCTTTTTGGGGCAGGAGTACAAGGCCAAGCAGGTTGGGCAGTGCAAGGCATTGTCTGGGTCTCCAGTGACTGGAGGAAAGGAAGGGGTGTCACTGGGGTAGGCACTGAAGGAGGAATACCCCAGGTGAGAGGGGCCTGGGATCCCAAGGAGGCCCTTCACTGAGGACAGCCTCCAACCAATTGTCTCCCAAATATCCCAGCAACCTGTTATCTCCTGGATACGGGCACTCTGTACAAGGATGCCTGCCCCGCCCTCAACTCTGACCATTCGTCTTCCTATGGTCACTGCTAGGGAGCCCCCAACATGCTCATTGCATTGCAAGGGCAAGAGCGCAGGGGCTGCCCATCAGTTATCCCAGACACTGGCCGTTTCTTAGGTGACATCTTGGTCACGCTTTGCTGCCTCACTGAGTTGTAGATGTGACTCTGGGCTCACAAAGTCTACACCACCTAAGACAGATTCTACTCTTGCTAGGAGGCTTGGAACACACACACAGCCAGTAAACTGAGTCTGTTTCCCAAGGACCAGCCCTGCCAACGAATGCCAGGCTCCCCACCACTATTAGGTTGCCTATGCAGTTCTTTGGGGAAATTGGGCATCACACAGGGTGACTAACTAGGGATTTAGTGTCAGGGTCTGAATCCTGAAAACATGCCAGGTGCCTATGTTTTGAATGGCTTGTCTGGGAGACAATGCCATGTGGTGGCCCTTGAACAAAGAGTCAGGGGGCCTGGGTATGAATCCCGACTCTGCCCCTGACTTGTTTGTGACTAGAGGAAGTCTCATCTTGGAGTCTTCATCCCTTGTTTATAAAATGAGGGGGTTACCATCAGCTAGAAAGTAGAAGCACCTGGGTGGTCTTTGGATGATGCATGCTATCTAAGACGGAGGCTGGCTAGCTGGCTTCCCAGTGATAAAACTGAGTTTTTCCAGCTTCAAGTAGAGACAATAGCATCCCATGAGGATGTTGGGTGAGATGATCTCTGAGGTCCTTCCCTACGGTCAACACTAGGTGGGTGGGCTCTAAATAGATGAAGGAATTGTAGGGCAGGTGGTCTAGATCAGCAGATGAGGTAATGGGGAGCCTGAGAAATACCACGGGGAGGGACCATGGGACATACTACAGGGGAGAGGGACAGAGACTTCGGGGAAGTAGATTGGGGCAAGGGGTTACTGGTAGATACCACAGGTTGAGAGGGCATAGAAAGTATTGGAAGATCAGGAGCTCTAGGCAAAGGAGGGAAAAGCGCTAGGAGATCCTGCCGGTGAGAGGGCAGGGGCCACGAACCCCTCGAGGCCTGGGCTACCTAGGCGAGCCTTGGGTCTCAGCACCGGGTCTGTGCTGGTTAAGTTGTTACAGTAGTTGATATTGCAGAAGTGGATGTAGGAGGTGATAATGATTCCTGCTGGGCCCAAGTGCTCCGTGACCCCGGAGAGCCGGTTCCCTGCTGGTGTGCAGCCCTTACTGCCCAAGATCAGTGACTGGGGCCCTAGGAGAGGAGGAGCAGGTTGGCAGGGGCTGGGACCCCCGGGGGGAGCGGGGGGCTCAGGTCATCTAACAGACAACATAAAAACCTCCAGACATCTATTCTCATCACCCTGTCCTCCACCTGCCTCATGGTGACAGCCCTGTATCATCCCCCTTGTTACATGTCCATAGAAAGATAGCTGGTTTTGAACTGGCAAGAAGACAGGGCACAGGCCAGGCAGATGCCCCGTAAGAAAGGCAAGAATGTGGACCAGCAAGAGGGAGGGCAATGCCCTTGCCTTCTTCACCCGGCTTTAGAGATGGCCCGGTTTCTTTTGTGTGTCAAAAAGGATCTGAGGAACAAAGTGGGGTCTCTGATCTCAAAACTCCAGACTTCTCCTGGGGGTCTTTTCTGGCCAGATCCTTGACCCAGGTTTGGGGACATAAGAATTTGACCAAGGATGTTCCTGGAGGTAAATGGAATTCTTTCCCCTAACTCAGATAGTTGTCTGGGATGGTGGAGTCAGAGTCAGCTCTGGATAGCGGCGGACCCTTTGCGTGAGGGCATTCTGCTGGCCTTAGCTCCCTCCCTGGCTCGGTGAGGGAGGATGGGAGTCACAGCCCAAGCTCTTTACTCAAAGAACTGTCCTGCTAGACAGCACACATTAGTAGCGAGCATTACTCAGCAGATGGCAGCAGAGAGCAGCGCAGCGGCCACATCACGAGAGCTAGCGGGGCAAACTTGCGGAGTCGGGAGCAGTGCAGGAGCAGGTATGTGCCTCCTACATTTGTCCCCACATCACCGTGTTCTCCACACCTGTTTTTCCCTTTTGTAGGGGGTGGTAACCTGTGAGAGCAGGTGTCCTCTGTATACACGGCAGGGGGCCTTTATCACCGCCACCGCTTTGGTCTTGAACTAATGGCTCCCCTGGCCGGCTTACACAAGTAATCGAGCTCCCGTTTTTAGTGGGTGCTGACCCACAGAGTGCCGCGAGCTTTGCTGGGAGCCCCACATGTGGGGGGAACACAGGGGCTACATACAGATGAAGAGACTCAGTCCAGAGACGGTAAGTGAATCATAGATTGTAAAAGCTCCTAGTACTTTATGAAATCCTCTAATAAACCCCCTTAACTTTCTAGATAAAACAGCCTGATTCAAAGGCACTGTCCCCACTACCCCCTCCTTCTGCCAGCTGTCCTCAGTTTACCTGTCTCCAGCATCAGCAGGGTCTCCTGACACACCTCCCACGTCTCACAGAGCCTGGAGTGCTGCAGGCTGGAGATCCAAAGCTCGGGCTCCGAATTCAGTTTCCGCCCAAGGTACAGCATCTCGGTGTGGTAACAGGTGATGGGCGGCAGCAGTGGGAAAATGGGGATGATGCCGCGTTCCTCTGCGGAGGGGGCAGGGCATGGTCAGCGCCTGACCCGACCCCCGGGGATTCACACGCACATACACACATACTCACACATGCACACACACACACACACACATGCACACGGTCCTCTGCAGAGGACATGGTCAGCGCCTGACTCGAGCCCCGGGGATTCATACGCGCGCCCGCACACACACCAGGCTGGGCGAGGGAGGCTCCCACGAGGGCGAGGGAGGCTCCCACGAGGCCGAGGAGCAGCGGGAAACGGGCACATGCCATGCCGCGGTCTGGACTCTCCTAGAACCTGCGATTGTCTTGTCTTGGGTCGTCCCTGGCCCCTGGGACTCCCGACTCTGTGGGAACGAAGAGAGCAGGGAAATGACAGGCACGCCCCCTGCTCAGCTCCCCCAAGCCCCCCACTACGGGGGACCCAAGCACCCCCCCTTCTGTGTCCTCCCCGATGGCAGCCCCCCACACCAGGAGGCTCCCCTCCCCTCCCAGGATTTCTAAGGTCTTAGAGGGGCCTCTGAGGGGGCAGGGGCTCAGGCAGTTGGAGAAGCCCCCAACCCCATCCTTCCCCAACGCCTAAGCCCTCCCCCCATCAACAAGCGTTTCTGTAGCACACCAAGACCCTCCCCCCAAGGATCCCCTCTCTCTTACACAGCAAGCTCCTCCCCTCCCCCAACCCTAAGTCCCGCCTCCACCCTCCCCAAAACACAAGCCTCGCCCCATCCAATCCTATGCCCCTCCTTTGCCCCATGAGCCTCGCCCCCAGACCACCCTCTTCCACATCAGGGTCCACCCCCAAAGGCCCTTCTCCGGCCTCTCCTCTCCCTTCCCACCCCCAGCGAAGCCCCGCCTCCCAACCTTTCTACCCTCCCGCCCCAACGGCCCCTCCCCCGAGCCCGTGGACAGGGGGCGGGGCCAGTCTGCCAGTTCCCACCCTTCACCAAGGAGATTGGGGGAAGAGTCCCCGCCCCATTGGTCAGCCAGCCTTTACCGTCCACCCCCCCATCTCACCATGCCCCATTGGCCAAAGCCTTGCTGAGGGATGGGTTCCTATTGGCTATTTTAAGGAGTGGGTGGGGCATCGTCGTCCTTGGCTCCAGAGAGGGGCTTCTCTCCCCATTGGCCAGTGAACGGTTGATCAACGTGACTCCCACGTGCTCCACGTCCTGCTCCTTTCCCTCTTCACACCTCCTCCCGCTTCCCACAACCAATAGGAGAGCCCCTTACAAAAATGGACGAGGAAGGGTCAGGCCACACAAAGTTGAGGGCTGGGGAAGGTAATGAAGCTGTATTTTAGGCCCTGGTGGTTTCTTCTCCCATCTTTCTGTGGTATCTCTCAAAATGCCACAGAGATTCAGAGAGTGGGAGATACCACGATGGAGGAATGGGGGGAGAAATCCACCCACACACATATGGAGGCCTCACGTGCTACTTAGGGGATTTGAACCCAGGCGCTCAAATCCAGCCCCCTTCCCTTTGCACCCTGTTGATTCCTCAGGGGCTATAACAGCAGCAGATGTCCTGTGGGTAACTCTGCAAAGCTTGCAAGGCCCCTTCCATAGACTATCTCTGTGAGCAGGAGGTGGGGTGCTGTTAGCATCCCATTTTGCAGAGGAGCAAACTGAGTTTCAGAGAGGTTCACTTTGACTTCCTCAAGGTCACACAGCCAGAGGCAGCATCCCAAACCAACTCTTCTCTTGGTCCCATACCCTGTCTGTCTCAGAAAAGACCACGGGGGTGCCTTCCACTTCTGAATTTATGCTTTTATGCGATATGGTTCCTCCTGGTAATAACATTATCTCATTTTATCCTCACAACAACCATGGGCAATAGGTGCTATTATTATTATTCTTCCCATTTTCTTGTTGTTCAGCTGTGTCCGACTCTCTGCGACCTTGCTTTTTGTGATTTTCTTGACAAAGAACCTGGAGTGGTTTGCCATTTCCTTCTGCAGCTCATGGTACAGATGAGGAAACTGAGGCGAACACGGTGAAGTGACTTGCCCAGGGTCACACAGCTGGTAAGTGTCTGAGGCCACATTTGAACTCAGGAAGATGAGTCCTCCTGACTGCAGGTCCAGTGCTGTGCATTATGGCGCCACCTAACAGCCCTCAGACTACAGGTTGCAAAAGAGGTGTTGACCTACTTTGATAAAAGCAGTTTCCTCCTTTGGGAGTTTAAGTTACACGATCTCTCACTGACAGTAGGTGATTCTTTACCCCTCCCTAACTGACTCAATCTCCCTCTCTCCACAGCGGCTCTCCCAGCCTCTCATCCTTCCTCAAACCTCCCACACTATCTCACTTGATGATCTTGTCTGAGCTCCCACGGATTCAGTTGCCATTCTTAGATTTTTCTTTCCAGCCCTAACCTCTCTCTGATTTCCAGTCTCACTTCTCCAGCTGCTGGTTAGACACTTCATACGGAATGTCTTACCAACCTCTTAAGCTCAACATATCCAAAACTATACTCATCTTTCCCCCCAAACCTATCTTCTCTTTCTGACTTCCTTGTTATTTCCTCGAGGAGGAAGAGGAGAGAGGTGGGAGAGAATTTGTAACTCAAAATTGCAGGGGCAATTAGATGGTGCAGTGGATACAGCACTGGCCCTGGATTCAGGAGGACCTGAGTTCAAATGTGGCCTCAGACACATAACGCTTACTAGCTGTGTGACCCTGGGCAAGTCACTTAACCCCATTGCCTAACCCCCCCAAAAAATCAAAATTGTAAAAAATGAAGATTAAAAATAGTTTTATATGTAATTGGAAAAAAATTTTTTTTTAATTTAAGTGGTTGTTGGCTTCCAAACACTAACAAAATCATAGTTACTCCGTAGTCACTTCCTTATAATTGTGGTTATGGCGCCACCATCCTCCTGTTACCCAGGTTTGAAACCTGGGTATCTTCCTCCAGTCCTTACTTTCTCTCACTGCCCATCCCATCCCCATCCAATTGGTCGCCATATATGGTCAATCTTACCTATTTACCATCTCTCCATACCTCCTCTTCCTCCTTCTTTCCTCTGACACTGACCCCAGCCTGGTGCAGACCCTCATCACTTCACACCTGGTTTATGTAACGCTCCTGGTTGGTCTCCCCAAGCGCTCCAGCCCGCCTGCTCTGCTCTGCCTGGGATCTTCCTCAAGTCTGACCATGTCACCTTCCTATTTAAAAAGCTCCGGTGGCTTCCCCTTGCCTCTAGAATCAAACACAAAATCCTCTGTTGGGTGTTCAAAGGCCTTCGTAACCTGGCCTCTCCTACCTTTCCGGTTTGCCTACGCCTCCCTGGCCCCCACCCCTCCGAGTACAGGATGACTCACCGGCCTCCCTGCTGCTCCTAGAACCAAAACGCACCATCTCCGACTGGGAATTCTCTCCCTCATGCCTCTCGGCTTCCTTGGATTCTCAGCTAAATCTCACCTTCTTCGAGAAGCCTTTCCTGGTGCTACTTAATGTTAACACCTTCCGTCTGAGATTATCTCTGATTTATCTGGTATAGATTTTGTTTGTGCATAATAGTTTACCTGTGGTCTCCCCTATTTAACCGCAAATTCATTGAAAGCAGGGACCTTTTCTGCTTCTCTGTATCTCCAATGCTTAGCCCATACCTGACACATAGTAGGCGCTTTAAGAAGTGCTTCTTGGGCAGCTAGGTGGCACAGTGGATAGAGCAATGGACCTGGATTCAGGAGGGCCTGAATTCAAATCCAGCCTCAGATGCTTAACACTTACTAGCTGCGTGACCCTGGGCAAGTCACTTAACTCCATTGCCTAGCCATAAATAAATAAATAAATAGAGTGCCTCTTGAATGACAATATGGAAATAACATTTTGCATGACTGCACATGTATAACCTCTATCAAATTGCTTGCCTTCTCAAGTAAGAGGAAGAGGAGAGAGGGTGGGAAAGAATTTAGAGCTCAAAATCGTAAGAACATGAAGGTTAAAAATAGTTTTATATGAGCACCAGCCCTGGAGTCAGAAGGACCTGAGTTCAAATCTGGCCTTAGACACTTGACATTTACCAGGTGTGTGACCCTGGGCAAGTCACTTAACTCCATTGCCTAGCCAAAAAAAAAAATAGTTTTATATGTAATTGGGAAAAAATATTTTTAAAAAATTTTAAGTGCTTATTGACTTCCAAGCACTAATAAAATCATAGGCTCAGTCCCTATCCTTCCATCTCATAGAATTTCCCAGTATTTTTCTCCCCTCTAGCCACCTGTTACCTCTCCTTACTTTCCCCTCTCCCAGTGGTATCTACTAATAATTTCAACTACCCTCTTTCCCTTCTCCCCAAGATCTGCAGTATTTCCCTAATGTAAGAACCATAACCACGCTGGGGCAGCCAAGGCTTTGTACAAGGAGCTGACTTCAGGAGCGCCTTCATGGCCCTGGGCAGGTGACTGCCAAGAGGCTCCAGCTAGCTCTAGGATAAGCAGCAGGCCTGGACGTATCTGCTGGAAGGCTGATGATAGGCATGAGCTGCTCATGGGTACAGTCCCTGGGACTACTTTCAAAACAGAGAGAGGGAGTCCTGGAACCTTCCTCCTCTGGGCTGGAGGTCTACTTCTCAGCAGGTCTTTCCACCTAGGCAGAGGAAGCGCTCCAGGGCTCCTGAGCACATTAAACCCAGGAAGACAGGCAGGGAACCCCCTAGAAACGGGGAGTCTTTTCTAGTTGCTATCCACAGATGAAGAGACAGGACAAGGACCGAGCTGAGAAGTTAGGAAGTTGCTTCTTGGCCCCTCAGCCATTCCAGAGTGTAGGAAAGTATCTAAAGGAGGGGTGGTCTGGGGAGCTACTGAACTGAATTTTGTCAGGTGACAAAATTCCTAGGTATGTCTCTGCCCCACTGATGTCACAACTGTTTCTCCTCCCCTGTGGTACCTCCCAGTAAATTCTGTCCCCAATTCTGCCTCCCTCCCTCCTGATTGCCAAAGTAGCCAACTCCATGCTACCCTCCTCCATCGCTTACATCACACTTTGAGCCCTCCCTCAGAGCAATTTCCCCCAAGTTCTCCTTGTCCTAAGAATAAACAACTTGGGCGAGTTCTTAAATACAGGGTCATTTTATTTTCAGGACTGATGAGACCTGCTCCGCCTGGTGGGGCGGGACAAGGAAAGAATTTGGCTTGGGCTGGGACCAGCCCAGCCCAGGGAACAGAAGGGAATTCGTGTTCAGGGAAGGGAGTCCCAGGACCACAAGGGATGGGGGATGGGAGGAAGGGGCAGGGGATCACAGGAGGGTCCTAGCAGCAATAGCTACTAGGAGCAACACCCGTGGAAGGCCCAGGGTCCTGGCACTCCCATTAGTTGGGTGTTGGGAACCACCTTTAGGGGGGAGCTGTCCCATGTTGCTTCGATCGCTATGACCGATGGCCCCTCCGCTGGCCCCTTCCTCCTCTCTGAAGGTCTCCACAGGTTTCTCAGAGGGAGAGGCTGACTCCTTGGTTGGAGCCTGAAGAGTGGTGGATGGGGCCAGGCTTGAGGAGGCTGCAGGTCTGGGAGTTGAAACACTGGAGGATGCTGGGGTCTTTGTCACTGTCGAGTTTGGGTGGGAGGTAGCTGTGGGCTGTGGCACGGGTAGCACCACGAGGGGCGGGATGCCAGGGGCAAAGTAGGTCTTGTTCCGGAGATCAGCATTGCAGCGCGATCCGGTGCAGCAGGAGCCGCTGAGGGAGAAGCCTGGGCCGGTCACTCCATCTCTGGTGCACGCCTCATCCTGGACACAGCCTCGGACGGGCATCGACACCGTCACATTGGCTAAGGGAAAGCATGGGGGGTGGGCAGCCGGTTAGCGCAGAACTCCCAGAGCCCTGGGGGCAGTTGGTCAGGGAGCCCAGCTCCCAGTCCCAATTCTTCTCCAAATTTACTGAGGACCCATGAGTGAATCCCTGTCCC